TCTGCAAATCGCAGCCGCAGGGGTACGCTGCGGTTGGCTAAAGGCCTCTGTGACCTCATAAGTGGAGGGGCTCGCGGCCGGTCGTTACAGCCCTCTGACCGCGGGCGGGGGAGGCAGCGCGCGAGCCCACCCGAGTTTGTTTGTGTGCGGGACGTAGGTTCGAGTCCCGCTGCCGGAGACGGGGCAAAGGCCCTCCAGGGGCTTGAGCGGGTGTAATTTAATGGGGGTACGAGCCGCCTAGGGCTCCAGCTCTCCCCAGGAGGTGCTCTTGGGATTTGGGGATCCCACGGGGGGAGGGAGGTGGACCCCCCTCCTGATGCTGACTCGTGCCAAGCACCCACCTGTGGGCACCTGGCCGTGGGGCTCTCCCACCTCTCCTGGGGCAGCATCTTCAGTGCCAACCTGTGTGGGTGTAATTTAATGGGGGTACGAGCCGCCTAGGGCTCCAGCTCTCCCCAGGAGGTGCTCTTGGGATTTGGGGATCCCACGGGGGGAGGGAGGTGGACCCCCCTCCTGATGCTGACTCGTGCCAAGCACCCACCTGTGGGCACCTGGCCGTGGGGCTCTCCCACCTCTCCTGGGGCAGCATCTTCAGTGCCAACCTGTGTCCGGTCCTGCGGTGGAGAACATCTGCCACTTGCCCTCCACTAGGAGTCTGGCCTGGTGATGGCCAAGCCGTCCCTCTGAGATGCCCAAGGCCTGCGGGCAGGGACATGCGCCAGCGTCAGTGAAAGGTGACCAAAGGGATTTGCTGCCTGCATGATGTTTCTATGCACTTGGGCCAGATCCTTAAAGGTCGTCAGGAGCCTAACTTTGCGCTGCCTTTGAGGATCTCGGCTGTAGATGCCTAATTCCTTACTTGCGCGGGGACATTATCTCCAGCGCTGGAGATATTTAAGAGCAGGTTAGATGAACACCTGTCAGGGATGATCTAGACAGCACTTAGTGCTGCCGTTAGGGCTGGGGACTGGACTTGATGACCCCTCAAACTTCCTTCCAGTTCTAGGATTCTGCAGTTATCTTATGTGCAGCTTTGCTTTGCCAGTGATGGCTTTTTTTTTTTAGTGTAATGAGTCGGCTAAGTGTGTAGGTGTCACCTATGTCCGAGCCATCATTAGCCATGCACAGAATATGCAGCTGCGTAGGATATCTGAAAATTTGGGACACCACAGGTTCTTAATTAGGGATGTAAAATCACATTTAATCACTTAACTAGTTAAATGCTATGTTTAACCAGTTACCATAGGTTCCCAAACTTGGGGGCATGCCCTCCGGGGGGGTGAAGCAATTCCAGGGGGGGCGCAAGGTGACCCAGCTCCCCTCTCCCCTCCAAGAAAGAGCCCAGTCTGTACAGTAAAACAATCAGAAAATACCATGTGAAATGTCTGGTATTTTCTGTTTTTCCTGGCTCGGGCGTCCATCAGAACACACGCAGCTCGGGATCGCTGGGGCTGGGGGAGGATAGACATCCCAGGCAGACTTCAAAATGGCTGTCTTAAAAGGGGGGGCATGAGAGTTTCTCAAAAATCAAAAAGGGGGCATGAAAAAGTTTGGGAACCACTGAGTTAAACACTTAAGCAGCCCTCTGCCACGGGCTGAAGCACCTCCTGTCCGCAGCACAGGCAAAAGTCCATTAAGAACCTCAGTGAATCATATGAGCCCTGTGTATATGTACTAAATGCAGATTTACTGTCTCTTCTGTGCACAATGTCATTACTGAGCCTTCCTTTGTTAAACAAGTCTAGGAGTATAATTTCCAGTCCTTCCAGTTTTGCTGAGCATTTCCTGGTATCAGGGCCCTGTCCTGAAGGCTTTGGCAGCCAAACCAGGAGATTTTGGGTGCCAACAGTCCAGGAGTGTAGTGGGACTAAGGCAGGCTTCCTGCCTGCCCTGGCTCTGTGCTGCTCCCAGAAACTCCCTGCCCCCTCTGTTTATGAGCCACTGCCCAGAGGGATGTACCAGTCACTTTTGGGAACTGCCCCAAGTGAACATCTCACATCTGCCCCATCCCAGATCCCACACCCTGCACTTCCCCTTGCACCTAGTCTCCTTCCCAGAGCCTGCAACCCCTTGGCTCAGGCTGGAGCCACCTCCTACAATCCAAATTTCTCAGCCTCCACCCCAGCCAAGAGTCTAGATCCTCCCCTGCACCTCAGCCTCCTGCCCCATTCAAATTAAGTGAGGGTGGGAAAGAGCAAATGATGGAAGGAGGGGGGCTGGAGTGAGTATTGTGGGGCCTTGGAGAAGTGCGGGGGCCTTGTGGCAGGCAGCAATGTAAGGGTGTTTGGGTTTGTGCCATTAGACAGTTGGCTACCCTTGTAGGTGTGATACCTATTAGCTACAAAACACTGAGTGTTAAAAGTTTTGTGCTTAACTGCTTTTGTTTACTGATTTCTTTTATTAAAATATAGCTGATCCATGTAAAATGAATCCAGCAGCTGTGGATTCCAGAATATTGGCCCTGGCTGCTCAGATCACTGAAAGCTCTGATCAGGATGTTCCTGTGTTGCTATTGAAGTTAAAAGGTAAATAAAGATTCTTAAGATATAAGTAGGGAATGCAGATGTGTAGACAGCCATTTTTGTGATTAACCTATGTAATTGATGACAGTCAAATTGTACTTTCCTTTGAGTACATCCACTGGGGCCTGCACAAGTTCAATAACATAGAACTTCCTCTAAATCAGCGTTTCTCAACCTTTTTTTATAAAGTACCCCCTTTTAAAAAAAATTGTAAGTACCTCTAGTACCTACAGTTTTCAGACACAGAAAATTTTTTTCTACCATTGCAACACATTTGTTTAAACAACTTAATCATAGCTGGGCGATGAGATTTTTGGGTGTAAAAAGTACACAAATAATAAAGCGCTGTAAAACTTAAAACAAAAATTCAGTTTTCTCCTAATTTCAGTTGTGTTTATGTACCCCTCAGACTTCTCTCGAGCATCCCTAAGGGTACTCGTACCACTGGTTGAGAAACTGCTCTAAATCTCGCTGAAGTGATTATTGACTTGGGAGCCACAGATGAGGCGGGGATCTGAATGGAAAAAACTCTCAGACCACTAGATGATTAACCCAGATGGACTTTTTCTCTGCCTGCCCTCTGCTGCCAGTATAGTTCCTATGTTTAAAATCCCTTCTGTGAAGAGTTGTGGGCACAGAGTTAGTGGGATTGGGAATGGTTGCCTGGAAGTGACATTAAAAAAAGCCAAACCTTATTTCATTTAGGGTATGTCTACACTACAGAGTTTTGTCAGAAAAACGGCCTTTTTTCTGACAAAACTTGAGGAATGTCCACACTGTTATTGCGTTCTTCTGCAAGAAAATCGAAAGAACAGGGGGTTTTCCGGCATTGGTAATCCTCATTCTACGAGGAAGAAGACTTTTTGCAAAAGAGCTCTTTCGCAAAAAGGCGTGTGTGGATAGGGAAGAAGGAATTCTTTCGGAAGAAGAGGAAAGAGGAAAAAGCACAGGTGCCCTGGTGGCCATTCCATCCATAGCAATCACAGCTTACATGCGAGAGAACGTCCATTCAGTCTGGACGCTCTCTTTCGAAAATGCAGATCGCTGTTTCGTTGCACTTTTGCAGTGTGGATGCTCTCATTCGGAAGAAGTTTTTTTGGAAGATCTCTTCCGAAAAAAAGCTTCTTCTGAAAGAAGCCTGTAGTGTAGACATAGCCTTATTCTCTATCTTACACACACCCTGCCAGTACCTCCAGCAAAATTTCCCCTGGCAGTGTTCTTCTGTGCATGGGCAATGGAAAGGGCGTGTGAGCTATGTCCAGCTCTGAAATAATTATCAAGTTAATAAGAGTTTGCACAATGAATGTTAATTTGTTTTCATATAGACTAGCAAATTCAAACATATGGGCTACCTGCCAGAACATGCATGTTCTCTTTCTGCCCTCTCCTAAATCTGTAACTAGGACGCAGGAATATGATCTTAATTAGATATAATATCGGTAACCATACAAGTTAAGAAATTATAGTAATTTAAAGTATGTTTCACATTACTGTTACTGAGCTTTTTTAAACATTGATCTCAGATGTATATTTATACTCTGCCTTTTATGTTTTGAAAAATAATCTTTTTAGATGCTTTCTTATGGATCAGAAACATATGTACAATTTTTTCTCTTTCTTCCCTCCCAGAAATTTTAAATAGCACAGCTTTGGGAAGTAAAGAATCAAAGAAAATTAAACAGGACCTCTACTATTATGACCTTGTTCAATACTGTATGTTGGTCCTTAAACAAGATTACTCTCGACTGCAAGGGGGCTGGGCTAATGCTGCCCAGCTAGCAGAGATACTAAGGTAAAATGAAAAGCAGCTGTAAAGTTTCATTCTTGTTCTCTTTCACAGCTTTCCTTTCATTCTTTTCTTTTCAAGCTGTTCTACTTTGACTCCAATCCAGAACAAGGCTTGTTGTATAGTAAATGTCAGGGGGAGAATACCGGGAGCAGTCAAGGGCAGAGAGGTCAGGCAAAGCCTAATTGATTTGCATAGTATTTCAACATGCTGGGCAAATTATCTGGTAGGAACACAAAATACGTTGGATTTAGTTTTGTGTGTTTGTGTATTGTCCTCAAGTAGATCATGATTTTATACTAATAGACTGCTTATTCAGAATTGTTCACGTGTTTCTTGTAAACAAACTTCAGCTTCAGGGTCATTCACTAATTGTTTTTTATTTAAGGCTTTTAAAAAGCGACATTATCAAAATGCTTCATGTACACATATACCAAAAATAATATGCAAATGCAATAATTCTACCTAGTATAAAATCACCACAAATGAGCCAAGCAACTTAAAACTACAATCGCCTTCAAACAATTTCTATTCACCTCACTCCCAAACTTTTAAACTCTGGATTAAATGATATATGTTGCCCTTTATTTACCCTGAAGTTTTGAAATAAGTAGGGAGCAAATTCCTAAACTGTGGGGCCCTTAGAATAGCTTTGTCTCTAATACCATCTCTTTGGTGTAAGTTTTTGATATTAGAAACTTGCTAGAAGCTTCCAGACCAGGCATCAAAGTCATATGATACTTATTTCTGTTTCCTGATTGAGCGACCCAACCTTTATAAACTAATTCAGGTTCCAGACAAAAATTAATTAATTTTTTAGCAAAAAGAAGTCCTCTTGTAATTTAATTAATTGTAAGTGGTTCACCTAGCATTTGCTTTCCGTGCACTATTCAGATTAATTACACTCATTCGCACAAAAATTCGTGGAAAGCTAATAAGAATATAGAGTTGCATTTCAAAGCAAAATTCACAAAATGGTCAGGAATAATTTCCTGTTTGACAGTATGTGGAATGGATCAGAACAGCTCCGAGAAAACGTGGTTTTGGCCAAGACATGCTGTCATAGATAACAATACGTTCTCTTTCTCCTAAAGTCTTTTTTGAGATAACTGTTGCAACTAGCTCCAAGACATCTGTCATTCAGTGTTGGAGTGAGGCATTACTGCTCTGATGGCATTCATTCTTTTGCTTTTGTCCAACAGACCCTGATTTGTAAGGTTCAGATTTGTGTGCTCTTTCTTTTCAGTCAGTGTTGTGTGGGACTGGAGGTGAAAGAAAATCCTGACGAATTTTACAATAAATTACTTCCTTCAGCTGTAGAGAACCTCCTGTTTTTGGGAAGACGTCTGCAAGCACGGTTTGTCCGAGCAATCAAGGTATTTTAATTGCTTGGTTAAGGGAGCACCATAAACATTTTGTAATTGATTGACAATATTTCCAAGCTCATATATTGATTTAGTAGGGTTCTGTTACAGCTACACCATAATATAAAAGGTTTTTTTTCAGAAGTGACATCTTTTTTCTCATGGTTGCTAATAACTGAACTTTCGGAGTTTTGAAACTGGAATATTTCTTCCCTCCTGTATGTGCAGAGAATAGTAGTTACTGCAGGGTTGCTTTGAAGAGATTGACTAGTGAGAGTGGGTTGTTCCTGAGAACAAAGCAATAGTAAATTACAAGCAAAAACAGCTCAGCAACACTGGGCAGTCACATTTGAGATCTACCAGTCACGAGAGTTACCTTTTAACTTCAGAAATGGCTAAATCTGACTAGAGAAGTGCTGTGTTCATAGTGCTTTATTCGGCTTTTCAGAAGAGAAAGTTCCTAGTGAGAAAGATGATCTGGTGTCTCTTCTGCCATATAGTTTTTACATGAACTTGGCCAAAATGTGCAAAACTGTCTACTAATTCTGACATGTCCCAAAATTGAGACACTTCAAATTAGTGGGCAGTATTGAAAGTCTTGCTTCATCTCCATTTTAGAAAGTAACAGTTATTTAACTACTTTTAAAAGGGTATTTCATGGCAAAATTCCCTAGTGGTAAAAATAGTCTGAGAACTTAGGATCACCACAAAGAGTATAATTTGAATAACCAACCATGAGGATGCTGATGGGTTCCCTGAATAGAACTTTTCCCCCAAATATTTCACTTTTTTGGCTGACTCACCCCTTGCACTTAGTCAAAGTTTTCATACATTGTATTATGTTGGAAACTACATGCTTTCTGAGTAGTGATTATATATCAGCGGTATGACATGCTCTGTTGGCTCAGTTCTTGTAAGTGAATTTAGAGCTTGTGAAAGCTTCTTGATTGACATCCCTGTAGTCTGGAGTCTTCTGTCTACCCACAGTGTATAATTTTCCCCACAATTTTTTTATTATAATGCCTCAACCCATATGCTACTGAATCACCCACTTCTGTCTGGGATTTATCATTGAGTGCAAGCACAAGCTATACTATAAGTCAGTACTTTAACTTCCAGTCATATTGTCCAGAGATCGCTGAGCATCCATCCTTGACCACACACTCTGAGAAGGTTTAGCAAGTTCCACTCCACCAAGCGTTGACAACTCATGACTAAATGATCCTTAGATTCAGTACCATTATAGACCTGAGACCCTCGTTGTTTGCATATCCCTTACAGTCATTAGGTTGAATAGCAGGGTCTATTTTGAATTCTTGCAAGATCTAGTGTCAGGGATCCAGAGGAAGAAGTTGATGTGGGCCCAATAAGGATGTACAACCCACCATGTTACTTCACTTGGGACCTGCCCTATAAGCAGTTACCACAATGCTTATTATGAGTTATTTTGCCTTTAATTTGGCTGACAATCTACTGAGATTTCAGACAGTTACTGCTGGTTTTGTCCAAACATCAAAGCCAGGGCACTTAGACATTCAAATTTGGGATGTAATAGTGTAGTCAATTAACTAAAAAGCAAAAGTGTATAGGTTGATACTATAAACTATATGCATTCTCCACCACCCCTTCTGGCCAGTAAATTTTTTAGCAGGCTGGCAAGCAGCCCAGCTCAGTCCTGGCTTATGCTGGGTCTGGGACCTAACCCTGCTGTGGCTATGCATTTAAAGTGTATTAGGAGCTTGAGCAGGCAGGCAGCCCAGTTCAGTTCTGGTTTGCGCTGGGTCTAGGAGCTCAGACTCTCCCCTGGACAGGGGCTGCTGCCTCTGATACAGAGGCAGCAGCGCAGAGTGACAGGAGGCTCCTTGGGAGTGGGGCTGAAGTGCATTGACTGCCGACCTTAACCCCGGGAACTATAGAATAGTCAAGTAACCAATAATAATTCATGAGGTTAATCGACTATTCAGCTAACTGATATTTAACATCCCTAATTCAGATACTTACTATTGTGTAAATTGTACATGTTGGTTATATGTGGTCTGGTTCTGAGCTTACACCCCTGTAAAAGAGTTAAGAATCAGGCTCACTCTCTAGACGAGCCTTATTAAACTGAATGAAGTGCTGAAATATCCAGCATTTCCAAATCAACATTTTAGCCAATAACATTATGGTCAGTAAGGATCAAATATAGTGCCATCTCCTGATTGGCCCTTGTGGATGTAGCCCAAGCTATAGAGCAAGATTATGTGTGATCCACTTTTATAATTTACTTATTTATTTATTCTGTTCAGGATGAAGAAAAAACTGAATTTTTACGGTGTTTCCGGACAGTAACTGATGCCATCTGCTGGCTGTTTGGTGGGCATATTCAGCTAACAGAGTGTGGTACGAGAGAGGCTTGGAAAATCATTACATCATCAGATAACTGAAACTTTTGAATTTTAGTATAACTCCAGTGACTAGGATTCAGAAGTGATCCTGAAACCAGTCTGTGTCCTGTTTTCCCCTAGGGTATGTCTACACTACAGCGTTATTTCAAACTAAGCTATTTAAAAATAGTTAATTCAAAATAGCTTATTTCAAAATAACGCATCTACACACAAAATGCATTTAGAAATAGCGTTTTTCTATTTTGAAATAGCACATCCACACCGAGTGGACGTTGAATCACATTTAAGGCTGGTTGGAACAAGTTCCGGCAGGGCATCAGGTCAAAAGTTGCCTTGTGGCCAGCGCAGCCAGCAGGGCACCCTGGGAAGGGCTGGAGGCCCCCTATTTCGAAATAAGCGTCTACACGGCGCTTATTTTGAAATAGCAATTTCAAAATTGGCACTATTCCTCGTGGAATGAGGTTTAACAATTTCGAAATAAGCCCTCCGCTATTTTGAATTAATTTCGAAATAACAGAATGGCTGTGTAGACGCTAGGAAAGTTATTTCAAAATAACTGCTGTTATTTCGAAATAACTTTGCTGTGTAGACATACCCCTAGTTATCACATACTTTTAAATGATCTCTTGAAATAATCCAGTATACCAGCAGTTCTCGACAGGTTCTTCAAGGCCCCCTGAGGGCTGCAAGCAGGTTTTAGGGGATCTGCCAAAATAAACCAGACAGCAGGGCTAGTATTAGAGTCAGTGAAGCCCAGAAAAGAAAGCCAAAGCCTGAGTCCCACCATGCAGGACTGATGCTGAAGCCTGAACCCTGCTGTATATCGCTGAAGTCAAAGCCCAAGCAGCAAGTTTTGCGGGGCCTCCAGGCAGTTGCCCTTATTGCTACCCCCTAATGCCGACACTGGCTTTTAATCTACTGGATATTCAGAAAACCAGTTGTTGTAGCACAGGCAATCTGTGAAGTTTGTGTAGGATATGGGGAGGGAGGGCACAAAGAAAAAGGCTGAGACCCTCTGCATTATACAATAGGAAGCATCAGTATCTGAAACAGGCAATCTAGGACATTAAAAAAGCAAACACAAGGG